CATAAAGTACACTAAAAAAGGACAGCAGCATATATACTTTGGTGAAAAACAAAACAAAACATACTATTAAATGTATAAAAAAATGCACTTGAAATACAAGTATGTTTATAGTATATTTGTATTACTACAACCATACTCAAGTGCATTTTAATACATTATAAAAAAACATAAATAAAAAAAGACTGAAATGCTATGGAAGAGCTATCTTTTCCATTTGTAGAACATTTCAGTTATACCGGCCTTACTAAAAAGTACAGAATTTTACATTAGTAAATAAATAAAAATTACAATGCAATTTTCAGAAGAAAAAAAAGACATAAAGACTGAAAAACAAAGTGCATAAGTGAATAGCTGTGTGTGGATGGTGATGGGAGGATGACGATGATGCCCTGGCAGCTTAGATGGTGTTTGGCACATGGCACAGACCCAGAGCATCCCAGTGCTGACAACACACGGCAGAATCGAGGGAGGAGCCAAGATTTAGATGGCGTGGCTGCCAACATCTGGGGGGCGACTGATGGAGACAGAGCTGGTGGATCCGAAGGCGCAGATGGAGGGCTTATAGCAAGAAAAGTGTAGAAAAATAGTGATTGAATGGTTCTGGTTATTTATTGATGCTGGTGTAATCATCATTTTGTGGCCTGACTCACTGATCTCGTTCAGTGGCTGATCTTTAAAACTATAGTGTGGGTTTCCACTTGTTTCTTGTTATTTACGATAGCTATATCACAATTACGGATTTTGAAACTTCTTACTAGGTGCTTTTATTTTTGCTTTTGTGTTTGTGTTGAGTTTTAGTAGTGTGTTTTGTGATGTTCAGAGTCGATATGTTTATACATTTTTTTTGATTGTCACCGTTGTTGAGATTCATACGCTGACTCTTCATGTGTGTGTTTCACAGCATGTTAGAACTTTTTGTTTTTGTGATGTGTGTGATCTTCCATAACAGCCCGCTTGTTCTTTTGCTCTGTGCTTGTGTTTAGCATATTCCTTAAAAGTATAACTAAGCATATATTTAATACAAAAGTACTTCTAGTATACTTTTTAGAAATATATTAAAATGCAATTCAATATATTTTTATTGCACTTCAAATAAGTATGTTGGGAATACAAATGTATTATAAACATACTACTTGTATTTCAAGTATATTTTTAATACATCTAATACTACGTCTTTTTCACCTGGGTTGTAACACTCCAAAGAGAAAGGAAAAATTGAAATCACATCATATGACCCCTTTAACAGTGTCATCGCAGCAGCGCAATCATCCGCATTTCAGAGTGTGCAAAAAACACGCTGTCCTTCGGCACCTAGACAGTGGAGTATGGCCATTTTCCACTTCGTTGGGACAATATCGAGACCCATTGCTAGCAGGTATGTTTCAAAAGACATTTTGCATCGCTTCCATGACTTTAGGCTCACCAGGATGGGGCAAAAAGTGGCTCGGGGGAGATAACAACTGCATGGGAAAATCATCTGCCATCTTTGTTGCCAATTTTTCTGTCTGTAAAGAAGACTCATACTAGAGCTTACTTTACTTTTTACTGTCCTCATCAACTTCTGAATTGTGTGAAAACATTCAAGTGCCCTGAATGTCAGCGGAGCCCCAGAGACAGATCCCCTGCGAAGACCTCATCACCTCGACGATCATCAACACGAGACCACAGGAACCAGACAAGTCCTCTGCTCAATCTGACCTGTGTTGCAGCCTGGAATTAAACTACACCATGCTGGTTTCGTCTGGCCAGAGGAGAACTGCCCCCCCAACTGAGCCTGGTTTCTGCCAAGGTTTTTTCTTCATTTCTGTGACCAATGGAGTTTTGGTTCTGATGTCATCAGAGAAGGAACGCCATTCTGGAGTAACTTTTCAGATTTTGATTAAAGACTACCAAGACATTTTTTAAATTTTTTTTCGGTGGATTAACTTGCACGGATGAATTGTTCACATCAAGACTAGCAATGTGTGCTAACAAAGTAAATAGTGTACATTTTTATTTCATGCAGACTTTAAAGTAAAATGTTAAAGTAACCACCAATCTCATTACTGTAACGAACATATTACTTTAACTAACCATCAGACTTTTAGTGTAATTAAGCATGCAACAATAAGAAGCTTAAAGAAGTAATTGTGTACCCCTCTTTGTAGAAAGGACCATTTCCTATTACTTTGAGCTAGTTTCTTGAATTATGTACTGTTTTCTGATTTTTTTTTTTTCTTTTTCTGAGGTTTACGTTACCTTCTTGCACGTGAGTGTACGTGATCTTGAATCCAGACACCTTGCTCTTCGGTTTGGTCCAGGACACCATGAAAGAGCTGTCGGTCACATCGCTGAAGGCAAGATTGGATGGAGGCTCGGGGCCTGGGTACAGAACATTAAATACAGGTCAACATCAGAAAGAGACAGAAAAGAGAAAGGCAGAAGAAAAAAATAAGCTGACAGGAGATAACAAGTCAGAATCAAAAGAAAGTTGATGCAAAAAAGTAATGAATGCAAAACCAGAATAAAACATTGTTAAGCAGTACTTGTTTAATTGCATTCACAATTCTTTCATCTCTGTGACAACCCTTACATACGTGTCTCAGAAATAAGGCTGGTTATCGGTTATTTGAGTGAAAACATAAGTGTATATATGTGCAGTCGAAACATATATACACTATATAGGCCACCGCCTATACAGAGCCCCACAGAAACATCACTGTTAATGACTAACATGAAATCCTGCACAGGAGCAAGAAAACACAAGAGTGATATTATGATGCTGATGCTGCTCTTTTGAACCTGGAGAGGAGAAGAAAAATGCAAAGAAGAAATGAGTGAGGAAGTGAAGACACTGAGGAGGAAATGTGAACGGCCGTTAAGTGATTTCATTAAAAACAACACAATTTGTGTCTTGTTGGCCAACATGGAACAAGTTATTTTACACGAGATTCAACCACTGCTGTTTGTTTGAAATCAAGGGGGGTGACCATGGTCTTACCCTAGACTGAGGGTGAGTGATGAGGGGAGATATGAAGATTGCTGACTGTAATCTTACCCTGGATGAGAGAAGATCAAAGCAGCGATAAATGGTGATGAGCAGGACTGTCTCATGAATATATCTTACTGTTTGTACCAGAACTCTATTTTGAATCTCCTGAATAGTCATCAAAAGGAATATTTCAGGTTAATATTCCCAGAATGGGACACGTAAATCTCCATAAGTTCTATTATTAGCATCAGCAGCATGTTGTCGATTACCACAGAAAATCATTTTGATTGATCCCTCAAAGAAGAACAAAAACATATTTACAGTAATGCACTTACAATGGAAGCATTTCCCATGCTTTAAAAGCAGAAATGTGAAGCTTGTATTTATGTTACCAAAAAAGGTGAGTTAGCAGTCTGAGTGTGATTCCAGTGCCCGTTTAGAATAAAATACCATTAGTTCAAATCAGACAGAATCATCATGGCATCAGTCTATGTTTATATTGATTTTACATAACTATTACAAAATGTAATTAATTTCATTTTTCTTAATTTTTACACACAGAAGGACCAGTTGAAATTATTTTCTGGCATAATCAATAGCATGCCACAGATGCTGCTTTTAACCAAGAATAAATGAACTAAATAAATTGTTGCATTAATCAGTGGTTACCAGCACAGCAATGGCCCCTGAATCAGACAATGTTAATGAAATAACATCATCCTCTATAAATCTGATAAAACTGAAGACTCTTCGGAGAAGTGAATGATGCAATACTACACTATAGGTACTCTCTGCTGCGGCGCAGCTCCAAGAGAAAATGGTAAATGGTCGTTGTTCAGTTGAAGTTATCTGCATCCGAAAACCTAGGCTGCTGACATGCTGCCTATCAGCCAATGACTCCGCAGGCAGCGTTTGTTCATGAAGGTAACTCATGAAACTGATATCGGACATGCTTCTGAGGCAGCTTAACGTTCAATGATCTACAACAAAATAGAACGAACTTCGGTGATAACTAAGCGAATATTTAATTACTTAATAATACTGATTTCTCATTAGAAATAACTTCAGACGAAACCTTTATTTTGCTCAACCATCACGAGATAGGACACACAGGATTGTGGGTATCAAGGCAGCGAAGGATGCATCTATTCTGCCTTTAAATATCGACCAAATGAAGGCAGGAAGTGAAGCTAACATTGTATTCGACATGTCTTGATGCCTTCCTACTGTGAAATGTGTCCACCAAAGGCAGCATTTTCCAGTTTCGGATGCAGCCATCTGTTCAACGTTGATTCTGCTCCGGTACCAGACATGCTTGTTCTGTCTAGTCGTATTGGAAACATGCTTGTTCCTAAGCTCTCAGTTGTTATTGGGAATATGCTTGTTCTTAAGTTATAGTTGTATTGTCGGGAACAGTGTTGGGCAGTAATGCATTACTTAGTAATGCGTTACTGTAATTTGATTACTTTTTTAGTAATTTAACGCGTTATAATTTTCAAAATAGTAATTAGAGTATAGTTACAAGCCGAGGTCTCTATACGTTACTGCCGCATTACATTGCTGACAGAATGCAGTGATTTCTAATCTAGATTGTAAAAAGGATGTAGCTCAAGCACTGTCGAGTCGAGCGCCAGTGGATTAGAGACCTGCTCCCGCGAGACCCGAAGCAACAGAGTGAAGCGCAGGATAAGACTTTATAGGCGAGTGCAGAGTGTGTGACTGTGCGGGATGTGGGAGAATAAAATGATTCACGGGACTCCCGCAAAATAGAAATATCTAAATATAAAATATCTGAAACAAATAAATTGTTATTCATCTATTGAAGATGCATTATGCATATATTTATTGTGTTATAACAGAGATTTGTGAGATCGCGATGAACTGAGATGTCTTTTAGAGATTATAAATGCAGTGCTCTTTGCTGGCATTCTGCCAAACCATGCACGCAGCAGCCGCTTGCTTTAGTTAAAAATAACAGTGTTCTGTGAATGTTGATGCTTTAATAACAAATATTAATCAGGAGCGTGTATGCTGGGATTTCATACATTTCATGGAGAAAAAAGTAACGTAGCTAGTAATGTAACTAATTACTATTTACTTTTGAAATAAAGTAATCAGAACAGTAACGCAGAGACTCGTGTGTGTGCGGGATGCGGGAGAATAAAATGATTCACGGGACTCCCGCAAAATAGAAATATCTAAATATAAAATATCTGAAACAAATAAATTGTTATTCATCTATTGAAGATGCATTATGCATATATTTATTGTGTTATAACAGAGATTTGTGAGATCGCGATGAACTGAGATGTCTTTTAGAGATTATAAATGCAGCGCTCTTTGCTGGCATTCTGCCAAACCATGCACGCAGCAGTCGCTTGCTTTAGTTAAAAATAACAGTGTTCTGTGAATGTTGATGCTTTAATAACAAATACTTATCGGGAGTGTGTATGCTGGGATTTCATGAATTTCTTGGAGAAAAAAGTAACGTAACTAGTAATGTAACTTATTATTAATTACTTTTGAAATAAAGTAATCAGAACAGTAACATGATTACTTTTAAAAGGAGTAATCCGTAAATCAGTAATTTGATTACATTTTCAGAGTAACTTGCCCAATACTGATCACGAATGATTCGCGCGAACATAAACGCATTTAGGTAGATCGGGGATGCATTCACTTCACAAACAAACGTAATCCACTGCGTCTTCAGCGGCTCAGATGACGGGAGTAAATGACGACTGCTATGTTCATTATTACATCCAACAACAGAAGACTT